AACAAAATAATAATGCCTCTATTTTGCATCTGTTCTCTGTGCTGCGGCAACCCACTAGGCGACTCACGTAACTCGCTGGGCATCTGGTAGAGTTTAAAGATAGGTTCCCAACTTGCTTGACTAATGTACTGTTTAACATTAATGTTTGGCGTGCTATAAATAAAAAAAGAAATACAACCAATTTACGAGCACATTTTATTTGTTTGTTTATTTTTAGTCTGGTTTTTAGTTTTTACAGTTTCATTTTAGATTTAGATTTCCCTTTAGCATAAATAGTTTAGCTTATCTCAGTTTAACTTTTTTAGCCAGTTGAGTTAGGTTTTGGTTTAGCTTTAGGTCTGTAACCAGCAATCCAAAGCCAATCCTTGTTTATTATGGGCCCAGAAGTTAAAAAGATTACGCAGTTTGGCCAATACGGAGAAAAAAATATAATTTAAGAAGAAGAGCGTATAAACGTAGAAAAAATACGAATAATTATTTAAATAATTTAGTGTTTGACAAAAAACCTGTCATTAATAGAATTTTTAACCACCAAAATATCAGGAACTGCTCAAATTTGTGGAAAATTGCAAGAAACTACTAATTTTCGAGGTCAAAGTTCAGTTAAGTAAAACATCCGCATGTCACCTATACATCTAAAACAAAACTACAAGCTTAACTAAATCTAAGGTAAATTAACTGAAGAAAGGTGTACTAAAATAAGGTAAACCACTTAAACTCAGGGGTCATTATTAACTAGTATAAACATAATTAAATCTTAAAATGAAGTGAAAACTTAAATAAAAGCTGAAATGAAATAGACATAAGTTAAATCAACCAAAGTTACTAAACTAAGGTGAAGTAAGCTGGTAAGGCTTGTCATTCAAAGCGACCGCATGTGGCTAATAAATTGAAAACTAAACTAAAAGCTTACCAAAAAACCTTAATCAACTGACTTATCAAACATTAATATAGATAATCTTAACTAATTATGCTAAAGGGAAGGCTAAGACTAAAATAAAACTAATCAAAATTAATCAAAATAACCAACAATTTAAAAAAAAAATAAACAGAAGAATTAAATCTGCACGTAACTTGGTTGTATTTCTCTTTTTTTATGGCGTGCTAAACATCGGTACGAAGCAGTAGATAAGTTTAACAATTTGGGAACTCATCTCTAACGTCTATCGGGCATTCTACATTTCGGTTGCACGTCCACCATTTCCGTAGCTAGTGAACCATGGGTGTGCTGAACTTGAACCGACAAAGACAAGGAAGACCGGAATAGCCATTTACGGCTTATTTGCCGTCATCAGTACCAGGTGTTGATCAGTCGAGCGTGTTTCGTGCCAACAAAGGCCTGCCGAACA